AAAAAAAAAGAAAAAGAAAGTCATAGAAACAAGGAAATCCATATCGAAGTATAAAGGGCATCTCTGGAGAGCCGTGATCCCTTTAGAATTTCGCAGTTCGTGAGATTCGTGGAGTACTTCGGTATGGCCTCGCCTATTCAGACAGGTACGTTCTATATAGGTGAGTTGAATATCGTCTGACCCGTGTGCACGCGACGACCTTCCCTTCCCTCGTTTTATTGATCCACCCTCCTATACAAATAAGCTCGAGGCAGCCCTCTTTCGTACTAACTCCCGAGGAAAACCTCTTCAACGATCGGACGCTTTACGTTCCTTTTTTTTCTTTTTTTTTTTTTTCTTCCTTCCTTTCTTTCTTTCTTTCTTTCGATACGTATTTCAAAGATATCTTGTCGTAAATTTTGCGCATGCTCTAATAACGATTCTTACAAACTTTGATCTAAATCTTAGTATAAAGTATCATTTCAAAAATTAAATTTTATTTTATAATTATTATTATTATTATTAATTCTATAAAATTAAATCCAATCTTGATAATACCTCGTCCATACTTCGTTCAAGTTACATCAGAGTCATGTATAAATTAATTTAATCGTTGTAAAAGACGAACGTATATATTTTGTCTCGTACAAATATATACAAAACCCCTTCCCCCCTCTCTCTGCCCCAAAGTGAATATGTAGATTAAGTGCAATGAGAATTACAGAACAATCGGATTCATTTACAAGCTCGAGTAGAGCAAGTTCGGCTAAACCCTAGTCCACTACACTTCTACGAGATTGAAGCGTTGTCCAACCAAAAGCTGATAAGATCTCACCTCCTATATATCTATGTATTCATGATACACTGCGGATTTCCCACGAGTAAATCGATATATAAAACTGAGATTTCCTTTGGTATTTCTACAAAATGTAATAAAGAAATCATTATATAGTAAAAAACAAAAAAACAAAAACAAAAACAAAAATACAATATCATAAGAAAAAGTTTTCAAAATATTTGTCCAATGTGCTTTAAACATAACTGTTCATAAGAAAGTTAAAGATATTGTGTAGGTATTGTCTACTTAATTAAGGAGTTAGTAGGAGTTCCCGGTTACGAATCTATTCTAGTAAAATGTTGAAAGAAAAAGAAACGGTGACAGAGAGAAAGAGAAAGAGAGAAAGAGATAGAGATACAGAGAGGAAGAGCGTAGATCTCTGGAAAATAGCGTATTACATTGAAGATTTACGTCTTGTTAATGTCACGCTTTAGTTGCTGCTCGTGGTCGGCCTTTAGACTCGTGGACAACGCAACAAATCATTCTCAATAATCCTCGTACACGTATGTAAGCACATAAGCACGCACGCACGCACGCACTCACGCATTCACGCACGGCCATTTTATGCACATTGCCCTCGACTAAATTTAACCTCTATCGTGTTCCATCTCGCATTTAATGTGACTCTATTCGGATAAATTACTATAACTTCGGCGATCGATTTGAATTATTCGTTCGTCATAAAAGCCTGTGGTCATTTATTCGAAGTACGGTTACCGGGAGCTGGTCTCTAGGGGTCAACGATGGTAGTTCAAGTGCTACTAGGATATAAAGAAGATATGGGCCGGATGAATATATTTGAAATATTCAATAAAATTATCTCTTTTAAATAAATATTTCATCTTATGAACGTTGATGAGATAAAATTCGAGCACATTTGTTTATCTATTGCTTTTTTAATTTTTTTTTTTTTTATTCTCTTCAATGTAGAAATTCAAAGTACAATATTTCATATGGAAATATGAATAAGTATGTATAGCTTTTATTATACGTTAATCAAATAAGAAAATGATGATAATAGGTATATAACTCACCTCCTCGCCACGAACATCCCTGTAGCGAACCCATTTGCCAAGTTTCGGTCTCCAATATTCCAGAAGATATGCTTCCGAATATTCAACGCCCTGTCCATTTCCGAATCGACCTTGAGTGCCAGTTCCCGTGATCATATGCACCGTGTGTAAATCGATTTCCAACCACTCTCGTGGTTCCGTTGTGATCTGTTGCTTCGGGCACCATGCACCGCCGTGACTTTCTTGCTTAAGCCTGGGGAAAAAGGGTCAATATTTTCTTTTAAAATAAAGAAGAAGAAGAAGAAAAAGAAGAAAAAAAATCTAAACCTCTTATTTTGTCGTTTAATCTTTATTGTTTTTTCTCTTACTGTACGATTTAAAATGTTTATAGGATCGATTGACCTAAGACAATATATCACCCATATTGCTCTGACGTAAGAGAAATCACAGATATAAAACAACAACAAGAATAAAAAACAAAAATAAAAATAACAAGAGAAAAGGTTAAATAAAAGGATTGCGAACGGAAGCGATGTGTGCATCATCGAGAAAAGGAAGTCGCATAAATACGTGATCGTCTTCCTGGCCGACGGATAACCGTCACCTTGCTGCATGAGGTGGAGTTGATACGGGGGAGTGAAATTATAATTTATCGATCGTGCCAAGCCACCGGATGACATGAATTAAAGATGAGGTGGCACCATCGCGAGAACGACGACTACAACGACAACTACGACGACTACGACTACGACGATGACGACGAGGACGACGAGGATGAGGACGACGAGGATGAGGACAACGAGGACGACGATAGTGAAGCCACTTCGAGCTGGCTAATAATTGTATTCGCACATACCTTTAGCGACACTCAGACACTCAGAGAAGCGTACTCTTTACCGAAGAATCCTTCGAACGATTCGAGTACCTTTCGAATTAATCCTTTGACAAATGATTGGAATGTTCTTTGTAATGTTAACAATGAATAATCAATGAATATTTTATATCGGTGTTAAATACATATTTAAGAAATTTTATTTTACACTATGAAACAACGAATTCACATTTAATATTAATTTAAATTAATATATTTCCATAAATATGTTTTTTATTTTCAACTTACTCGGAATAATGATAGAAAATTTAATTAGTTGAAAAAGGAAATTAAAGAGACCGGGTAATAAGAAATTAACGGTAAATTATTTTGCGACAAAGATATCAACCATAATCCTTTCTGTTTCTTAAACTCTTTTACTACCTCTCACTCTTTCTCTCTCTCTCTCTCTTTATAAAGTGTAAGAACTTTGAGTTTTGCTTTGACTAGAAGGGCAGTAAAAATGAGTACACGGAACGAACTCGTGGAGTTGTAGTTGGAAAGGAAGGAAGGAAGGAAGGAAGGAAGGAAGAAAACAAAAAAGGAAAAAAAGAAGAGGAAGTGAAGGAAAACGGTGAAACGAAAGGGGTGGTGGATAGAAAAAGAAAGAGAGGTAAATAGAGAGAGAAAGGGAGAGAAGGGGAATAAAGAAAGAAAATAAAAGTGAAAGGGGTGTAAAGGAGGATAGAGGAGTGAAAGAGAGATAGATAATATGCACCACCGTGAAGGACCATAACTCATAGCCCATTAAGAGAGCTCGAACTGTCTGGCTGCCACTTTGATACAGTCCAGGGCATCAAAGACATTCCGCGTACGCGGCACCCGCTCCACGATAAATCTCAGAACGGACGATTACGCTGCTAGTAGACACACTGCCTGGAGCTGCCACGTTGGCGAAATCGGTGCGAGAAGCTTTTGAGAGAACTAAAGGAAAGTGGGAGAGGGAGAGAGAGAGAGAAGAAGAAGAAGAAGAGTGGAGTGAGTTACTCGATTATCGGGAGAAACTGTTTGTCGAAAGCACGAACGTGCCAGAAGTCGAGCATACGCTGGGATATATAATGGACGTCGAAATCCAACGTGTTTCTCTCCACCAGTCGCGAAAACTTCGAATCCGTCTGACGAAGGAGAAGAGGAAGAAGACAAGGGGTATGAAACAGAGAGAGAGAGAGAGAGAGAGAGAGAACTTTGGAAGACAGAAGGTACATTTCTAGTTGAAAGGATTTATATATAACGTCGAGTATATTCCCGATTTCATTTATTTCAATATAAAACGTTTCAAATTTTTATCGAAAATTTTTCATTTTTCTATTTATATCTGTCTTCATTGTGATATCTTTGATAATCTCAATAAAAGATCTCTATCGCGAATTTGTCGTTATGTTTGATATTAAATGATACTAAATAAAAAGATATGAAAACATGAATAATCCGTTCTCGTTAACACGTTAAGTTTGCTGCCCTTATAGCATTATGTAACTTTAATGAAGACGTCTTTCCTTATCACGAATATCATTAACGTTATGGACACTCGTTTAAGGTTAAAAATGATGGGAAGAATGGTAGGAACGTGGAATTGTTGAAACGGCATGGCGATCGAGAGATAGCATTAAAGTGTGTACAAACAGAGTTTAAATATGGGTTTTTTAGGGTAAATGGAAGGCGTACAGGTAAATAGGGTATTCACCGGGAAGCCCGTGGCATCGTAGAAACCTTAAAAGGGCTCGTTGAAGGAGGTCTAGACGGGTCTACTAGGAAAAGACTGCGTAGGAGCGAACGATATCGGTATTGCATTCACGGGGCTTTCTTCGTGTTGCCAATACTAGTGTCACACAAAAAAAAACGTCTTATCCTTCTTTTTCTAGATCTACCGCATAACCTATTAATGCGCTTTCGAGCTTTTCGAATGAAAAATCTTGCCTAACGATTGGATAAAAGTGTTGCTAAAATGTTTACGGAGAAAAAAGTTTATGGGATGTGATTTAAATGTACTTAGGAGAAAGTTTGAAAATCCAGTGTATGCTTTGTAGCATACATTAATTATTTGAAAAATTAGTTAAAAAATAAAAAAAATAAAAAATAACGAATGACCTTTTTCCCACGAGTTAACTTTCAAATGTACGAAGTACGACAATAAAAAAAAAACAGTCAAATAAATGGTCGATGGGAATATAAGTAGGAACCATTGAGAGAAAATACACTAAACACCGTAGGTGGTCCAAACGACCCTTTGTATCACATATACCAGACTCTGTTGAATTACTTTCTTTTCTTTCTTCTTCTTCTTCTTCTTTTTTTTTTCTTCTTTCAATGGTAATTAACTCGCACGTATAATCAAAGGACTAGGTATGGGGAAGGGTATAAGCATTTAGGGCGTCCAAAGAGCTTTGAAGCTGGCCGATACAAATGATTCAGCATGCGGGGCTTAGAATCCCCAGGCGTCATTAATCCTCATTGCTAGCTGACGGCCAAAGTAGACGTACAGTTTACTGGTATTTGATTGATATGGTAACCAACTCTCGAGATAGATCTTTACTTATCTCGAAAACGTTGGTAGGGATATGACGAACGTGTCATCGATGAAGTGACATCGTTTCTCACGTATCCACAAAACGACTTACCACCACGAACCAAGTATGGAAGCAAAGTGCTTCTTGACTGTCGATCGATACCACAACATTTTTTTTTGTATATATATATATATATATATATATATATATATATATGTGTATTCTTTTTCTATCTTATTGTGTGCTCGAAGCAACGTGAACGTATCGAAGAAGGGAAAAAAGAATATACTCTACTCTACTCACCGTCCATGATGGGGTCCAACGTTTCCGCTATCAAAACTCGAGCTGGCAGTAATGTCGGCATCTGGGATCGCCCTGGACTCCATTCCTAAGGGTGCGATGCATTGTGCTGAAAACGAAAAAAAAAAAAAACGAAAAAAATAGGGAGATTCGGTTACGCACATTTATTCGACACTCCTTCTTGAATCAATATGATTTTTTGAAAGACTTTCGTAACACGTGATACTACCTATGATCAATCCTCCCTTCCATCTAAAAATAGTACACCTTTTATAGATTGTATCATTCGATAAGGCAAACTCAAAAAAAAAAAAATAAAAGAAAACTCTGATTCGTTAACGGTACTTTTAAATCGACACTTATCCTTCCACGAAATTTTTAACTACATCAAAGGGACCTTGATTGCTCTCTACACGAATATATATATACCGCGAGAAAGTTCTGAGGAAAAAAAAAAACGGATAATATTGGTAGCGTTGGCTCAATTCGCTCTCGTAAACTCGATAAATTCAAGTAGGAAATTCAACTCCTACTGGCTGTAACGACAGCTGTTTCCTGAATCATCGCCAGGCACGTCAACGATTATCGAGCTCGTTTACTCGTGCAACGACCTTAAATCCACAAACTTTCTTCTTCTCGTCCTTCTCCTTTTTCTACTCCTCCTAAATCCTTTCCTTTTCTCTCTTATCCCGTCCACTTTCTCCCACTGATTTTTCTGTCCCGTCACGAAAGGCTGCCGGGACCACGTAAATAAGTGAACTTGTAAATGCTCTTTTTTATTTTTTTTCTTCTTCTTCTTCTTCTTCTTCTTCATTTTTTTCTTTTTCTACTAAGAAAAAGTCTAGCCAAAAACTTTGAATCTCAAATGGGAAGAGATAAAATTTGATTGCCACTTACGAGATTTCACGTACAGGTCTGGGGTAAAACTGTTATCATATAGTAAAACTTTTTTACGTAGTAGAAATATCTATTTTTAGTTTACTTAAAACCAAGCTGATAGAATAAAATTGATATTGTAATTCTTGTGAACCAAGATAATGAATAAGAATTAAGAACTTTGATCTTTAAATTGGACCCAAATTAAAGTACAATTTTTGAACTTCTCAAATATCATGTAAAACTGTTTGTTTAACATAAATTATCTACAGATATGAATTGCAATAATTTACGAAGTAGATATATTACTTGGCAGACAAGTTATATAAGCTTTCGAACAAAAGTGGGATTTCATTTAGGGATAACAAACGAACTTGTGTCTCCTTGTGGAAAGCAGGTTCGATTTCTGTATTTATAGACATCTTGGAAAGGAGGTAAGATGGGAAAGAAAGAAAGAAAGAAAGAAAGAAAGAAAGAGAGTATTAGAAGGAAGAGAAGAAGTAGAAGTAAGTTATGCGACGTTTGGCCCGCCTCAGCCACTCGTTCGGTCACCATAACTCTCAAGAAGTGACAGCTCCGAACGGAAGGGTGGGCCCGCCCTCATCCATCCGCGAGAAGAGGGAAATTGAATGCCCTAGCAACCCTCTTCGCGAGATTCTTCTTCTTCCTCTCTTTCTCTTCTTCTCTACTCCTTCTTCTTCTTCATCTTTTCTCTTCCGCTGTCAAACTGATAAGCGCTTTCCTACGAAGGCTTTTCGAATCTTCGTACGTTCTCGAAGAAGGCATTTTCTATGAGACAAGAGTGTACCATCATCCACTTTTTCCTTTTTTCTCCCATCTTTTTATGTTTTTTCTTTTTCAAATGTCATTTCAATGTAATTGTTAAGCTTATTATATCAAATCAAATACTAATTGCAGGCTCGAATTAATAAAATACTACAAATCAGTGAGTTATGATTTAATTAATAAAAATTCAAAGAATTCAAATAAAAAAAAAAAGAACATCAGCTTCCTACGGAAACAAATTTGAAATGACGAAATCAGGAGTGCGGTATACTAAGAAAACGTTTATGAAGGTGCTAATTATTTGAAGCAACAGGATTGCCGGCTTTGCGTTTTTAGTTTCACGAAGAAAGGAAGGAAGGAAGGGGCCCTTTTTCTGCTTGCGTCAGAGTAAAATGGTTGAAGGAAATGAAGCGAGGGAAAATTTTCACAACGCAACGCCCAGAGTTCTCTTTCTCTCTCTCTTTCTCTCATTCTTCTATCTCAGGCGGATTTAATAATTTCGCCATGCCCCCTTGCCTTTGTTAACTCGGTGATTATTATTAATGACTGTGTACGCGGTCCAGACCGTGGTCTTCGCTCTTCGTCTCTTCCACCCTTCCTCCTTTTACATGTTTTCCTCGTTCAACGGCGCGAATGTAAATTAATTACTCTCTCGATCTTAGCGAAAAACATATTAAGCGGTCTGCCTTATTACGCCGCGATATTAACGTATAAATCATGTCTTGCTTTAAATACTACCCGCGAATGTATTCCTTCTTATTTTTATTTTTTTTTATTTTTTTAAAGCCCACAGAAAGAAAGTCTGTCAGGTATGAAATGTGCCTGATCGATCGGTTTCGCATTCATACTCGATTAAGAAGAGCTTTCACCGTTTCAACAAGATTCATTAAGAATAAAAATAATTTTAATTTACTTATGTTTTTTTCTTATAAAGAAAAACAACGTCTTATATTCAAGTTATTAACAACGATATTCAAACACGAAGCATCAGCAACGAAGATAAGAATAATAAAATAATTTTTATCTTAAAAAAGAAAAAACAAAAAGAAAAAGGAACAAATAAAATCGTTGGTTAGAGCAAAGACACGAGCTTCTTTTTTTTTTTTTACTCTTTAATAATGAATAGTAGAGGTAATGGCTTTTCCTCGGTCGTATTATGCTAGTGTCTAACACTTTATTCGCTTAACAAAATTAGCAGTTGCCCACCTGCTGCACGGGTATTTTCCATCTCTCTTTCTCATCTACCTCTGTCTCTTTTCTGTATCAACCGAGAACACGAAACTCCTTTCGTGCGGACCAGTGAAATTAGAATGAATGTTTGGAAGAGCGATGACCTCAAAAGAAGTTCATGCTTTCCCTCTGGGCAACATCGTGGTCGTGTTGTAGTGCTATCTCTTCTTCTTCCTATTTCTCTCTTTCTCATTCTCATTGTCCCTTTTCCCTTTACTTTCTTTCTTTCCATTCGTGCTCATTGTCGAGGTCCAAGGGAGCCATTTTCGCCTCTTTCAGGAAAAACAAACAGCCTAGGCTGTAGGTTGTTGGAAGGGAAAGGTAGTGCTGGTGGTGGTAGTGTTAGTGCTGGTAGTGGTGGTGGTGGCAGTGTTAGGTGGTGAACTGAAGGCGCATGCTCTTTGTCGTTTCTCTTTCTGGCGCCGCGACGGCTGGAAAAACGGAAGTACTACTTTTACGCGACCCTACCGTCCGTCCCTCCTCAGACGTCCTGCTGCCCGAGCCTTTTCTTCCATCGGTCCTTTTACACCCTTCCCCATGAGATCCCTTGGGCGAACCGACCCGCCTCCTCACCAGACTCAAAATCACCGTCTCGAGTTGCATGCGTTGGTTACCTCTCGAGGGGATGCGAGACTCCAACCCCTTTGTGTTGAGCGTGCCATGTGTTTTGCGTTTGCCTTCGTGGCCTGGATTTATGAAAATACTCTTTCTCTCTTTACTAGCGACGTAAATCGTGCTTATTAAGAATATAGTACCGAGATATTCTACTTTGTTCTTTGGTACCTACTTTCTCCCTTGAAGATTTTCTGTTTTTCATTTTTTCATTTTTTTTTTTTTTCATTCGAATTGCGTTGAATTTATTTAGTTCAAACTTAGTTTTTACGACCAAATTAGTTGTCAACAAAAGTACATAGTTTAATAAGTTCGTATTTATAATAATGAAAGAGACGCTTCATATTCTTTCGAAATTAGGTCTACCTTGTGTTTTTTTACGTAATTATATAAAAATTTCCCGTGAGTATTTTAAATAGTAATCAAATTATTCAACATTACATGGCAAACTTTCATAATTATGATTACTGATAATATTCCCAAAGCGGAGATACCTTTAAATACATGAAAGCTAGGTAAGATCGACCGGGTGACCTGGATCAAACGACTATAATGTCAAAACGGATGGACGAATGATAACGCTATAATAGTCAGGTTGTTATGTTAATGCGTCAAAGAGCAAGCTGATAATTTCGTATCCGACGGTTGCGGATCTAATGGATTTGCGAATAATTGAGGAAGGAGACTGGGATGGGGGTTGGAATGGGAGGACGACTGCTCGAGGGATGACAATGGTGTAATGTGCGCGTGCGTATACGAGGAATAGAGAAAGGGATAGAGATAGYAAGAGAGAGAGAGAGAAAGAGCTTTTCGCGTAACGGTTCTCCATCCAGGACACGCGCTCGTCATGTCAGTTCGGCTGCGTGTTGTCGACGAGATGGAAACTCCAGTGCACGTTCGCGCAATCATATCCACCTAGCATCGTGCACAGTCAAACATAAGTATGCATGTATGTATGTGTATGGGTATTGTTAACTCTAGTACATGCTCCGTCTCAATCTAAACCTATGCCCTGTCTCTAATCTACGTTGAGATCTACTTGCTTGCCATCACTGTACACTATATAAATACACTTAAGAATATGAAAATCCTAAATCTATTTGAATATTTACAGAGCGTGATTAGATATGTATAAATCTATAAACGACATTTTGTCTCTGATGAATTTTAGTTCTAATTCGTTGATCGACAAAGACTAATAAGCACTATTGAATCATAGCGTTAAAATTTGATCAGAATCAATACTTCCTTATCCTGTACTATAATAGAATTGGATTTTGGTTTTCGTATTAAATCAGTCTTGTGTTTAAATTTCTAAAAGACATATTATTTGTAGATTTAATACGAAAGACTTTCTAGTAAAAATATCATAGTAAAATATTGTAAAATATAGTAAAATAATTCTATGTTAAATTACGAATGACATAATAAATATTAGCGAATTCGAAAATACTTTAATATCGAAAGATTCGAAACAGTGGATGATGAGTAATAAATTCATATTAGTGTAGCATGTAGAGGGAAGCAGTTCGTGTCCCCCGAATACAACAACCCCTCCGAAACGTTTCTGCACGATGTACATGCATAGCAGAACGCGTTCGCCGCTTGCAGACCGCAATCCAACCGACGGACAACATGTTTATGTATCGCCGGTAACATTAACATTGCAATTTATGCGCGCTTTAACTGTATTCCCTTCTCTTCTCATCCCTTCTTCGTTTCTCCTGTTTCCCATTCTATCTTTCTTTCTCTCTCTCTGTCTTTTATGTATGCATAGGCTTACTTGATGTTTCTCGATTTCTCTTTCTGTTTCTCTCTCTCTCTCTCTCTTTCTCTTTCACTTTAAACTGAGTTGCTTAACACGACCGCGAACTTACTAACGTGGTTCAACGTACAACTTCACTCGGTATGGATTGTAACAGGGGTAGGACAGAGGATGGGTGGTGGAAAAGGAGAATCACACTCTTTGGGTTGTCCCATAGTGTGTTTCGGTTCTTCTCTCAAAGCCTTTGAATTCGTTTCTCTCGATGCTATTTATATTTCGGCATACGCGTGCCACAGAGAGTTCGTTTAATTCGTCTTCCACCCCCGCTCGCCCCTCTTCTTGTCCGGTTAACCGTTTGCCACGACCGAAATACGCCGCCGGCGGCGACGATAATCGTGACGCGTTTCGCTCGTCGCTGAACGAGCCTTTCAGAAGTACGATCCTGTGTTTTTTTCTTATTCTTTTTCTTTACTTTACTTTACTTTTCTTTCCCGTACTTTACATTTCTTTCCTTTTCGCTTATACATTTGTGGAACTGATACTGGAAATATTTATAGGAGATGTAAATTTCGTGGAAGAATATTTACGAATGGTAACACTTTTCACGTTTATTTTAACGAACGATACTTATTTTATATTACGCATTTAATATCGCACGAGTTATCGCTGATAAATTATCTAATAATAATAATAATAATAATAATAATAATAAAAGAATCTTATATATTTAATTTTTCTTTAGTGTCCCGATAAAATATTTTTCCTATGGATTTTATTTTATTTTTTTTTTATTTTTGAAAAAGCCCAACGTAGAAGCAAATAATCAACATACGAAATTTGTCGAATCGCTCAAACTGTTCTTTCAAGAATGTTACGCATATGGAAACAACTTTGACTCGATCGATCAGCATACTCTTTATTCTATATCTAAGTTTCCAGCACGATTTGAAAGAACCTAAAAAGCCTTTTTCACGTGCGACTTGACTGAATGCTCGTCGAATACTTTACAAGTTTCCGAGGTTGTTTACTTAATGCGTACGAGGGTGCCTCAGCGAGAGCAAGCTTCTCGTTGCCCATGAAGGAGTCAATGGAATGGAAAGCGTGTAAAAGCTTGAAACTGAGGTTTAAACGCGATCCATAAGGATCACCCTACAACGAACCACTCTTGCCTGCTTTTTTTTTTTTATAGAATAGAAAGGAAGGATTGCTCTAGAATTAGGGATCACTTTTAAAGATAAAAAACGATGTTATAAATTTTGTTACCATGGAAAAACCTCTAATAGAGATAATGATCGGTCGTTAAATCTTTCCACCAATACTTACATATGTCTATAGATCGTCCAGGTGAACAGGACAAAAGAAGAAGTAAAATCTTTAAGAGCCAGGTTCTTAGATAAGGCGAGTCCATATTGATGTCACTAAAACTTGTAGTCATCGAACCTTCATAACCGCTACTTCTGTAAAAGAAAAAAAAACATGGTTACATGTGTATGAATTCGTCTAACATTAGTATACAATCATGTTCTGTTCCTTAAACATATATATGAGTAAAATGTTTAATTTTTGTTAAATATCATCACAGTATAATCTCGTTTAAAAATTTGATTGCTAAATTTTATGTTCAATCTGATTTAGACATATGTCGTCTATGGCAAATCTTTATTGCTTGCGGGAATCAAGCACGATTAAACAAGTAAGATGCTTTTTCCTGTATAAACCGAAAAGAAGAGGGAGGGTTTAGCAGTTTTTCGAGGTCAGAAAAAAAAGATACTGGTAAGGGGCCCTTCGGCAGCCCTCGTACTTTTGCCAGGGTGAAATGGTACGCTCAGTATCGGACAGATATACGAGCGGCGTAGAAACTATGGACAAAGAGCTACATTCACGCCAGCAGCCATTACGCATCATTATCGAGATTAGGATCACCAGTTCGAGAAAAGGAGAGAGAAAGAGAGTAGAAGAAGCGAGTTGTAGTAGGGCCTGAATTCTTCTACGAGCTTGTATGTATTCGAACGGAAGAAGAAGAAGAAGAAGAATAAGAAGAAGAAGAAGAAGAAGAAGAAGAGGTAGAAGAGGAAAAGAAGGAAGAATAAGAATAAGAAAAAAGAAAAAAGAAAAGAGAAAGGAAGAAAGATGGAAGAGAAGCGAAGAAGGAGAAGGCCAAACTGTATTTTATTCTTGGTGGTGCCGTCTTGGCGCGGACGAAGAAAAAAGTCACGAAGTAGGAGGAGGGTGAGTCAAGGAAGGCACCTTCTACGGGGAATGGAAGAGGTCTCACTTTTTGACCAATTAACTTGACTTTCGTTGGCCACGTTCATTCCGATGCTTATCCACTGAGTTTAGGAAACCACTGTCTATGTATTTCTGTTACTTAACATGTCACGAAAAACATGTTCCAGACGATATTTCTTTTTTCAAATTACGGATTCGTCGAAAGCTAAGATTTATGAGGCACATCCGGTGGTCAATCGGGACTGTTTCTCACAATAAAAGTCACATCATATCATTAAATTACTAATGAATTTGCAGTTCATTTTTTTATATTTGATTTTGTCTTTTGTATTTTTCTTTTTATTAAAATTTTATAAATTTCATTGAATATTGATCTTCATAGTTGTACGTAATTTCGTATAATATTCTGAGACGGTCGATTGAGATATCGTTTTGCAGTGGTGGTTACTCGCGTCGGTACCAGTGTCGACGATGGCGCGATCACAATGCGAAGGAGATCGATTAGCCGACACGGTAATTAAGGTCCTAGGGTTCATCCAACCTAGAGGTCTACTCGAGCAGACTAGTCGCCTCTGTCGGAGACGTGCGTTCCACTTGGAACCGGTTGAATCAACTAGCAGACGATCGATCCTTTGCTTCTGCGAATATTTTGTTGTTCCTGTTAAACCAACTATACGTACCTACGACTGAATAAGACTCTTCTATTTTTCAATCATTTTATCATGATCAAAGAAACTAGTCGACGATTTTGCTTTCATGGAATTTTTCATCGAATACTATCGCAAGGATCGCAAACGTTAAAATGAGATTTTTACGATCGTCTAAATTGCTGCATCACATTGCCATTACTTATGTGTTCTATTCATTCCAACGAAAACACGACACTTTCAGAAATATCTAAGATCGAGTACTACGAACGTAGAAAGAATTTTTCCTAATGCCCACCTACCTCTTGAAACGACGGCGACGTTACGTCTAGCGTAAAACGTTCACGCGATATGGTTCAAGAGCGAAGGAAGAAATTACGTGGATTTAGAGTCCCGTTTGTTCGAGCTTCGTAGCACGCTTCCTACGAAACGTACACCTCCATCTTTCATCCGCTCGAGCGAGCCTTGCCGTTTGCTCTACCGCTTTACCACCATCGCGAACTACCAACCATCCAGTACTGGAGATTACAAAGCCTTTTATCAAAAGGCTTTTACCTACGTAGTAAGAACATAGAAAAGACTTTAGATGTATGTTTAAGCGAGCTTACTTGGAGATTTTCCAAAAGAAAAACAACGACACAAAATACTGATGTTGATAAACCCGAAGCAAAGCTTGTTTGCTTGCTTGCTTGCTAGTAGCTATTCGTAATATTTCAAGAATCCAAAGAAACATATTTGTAAAAAATAAAATCGCTAAGTTTAATTACGAGTAGTCGTCCCTTTGACTACCGTATGGAATAGGTGTGGATACTATGGTGTACTACCGCTCCTGGCACTGATGTTTATCTCCAAGCACGAGCGATGGGATGGTCAAGATCGCAGAGCGTGTCTCTCCCATTTATTTCTCGTGCAAAACCGGTACGGCTTGTCCACTAGCAGAACGAAAAAATGAAAACGCAGTAGTCGTCCATGATCCAGCCGTAGGATAGTCACTCCCTTTTCTACCATCCCTCTTTTTAGATTCGCACACCGTATGGCGCAGGGCGTTAGATCAAAGTCTCCTTCGTATTAATTTTCACGAAAGTCGGTACTTCGAGCTGTAGGTAATTTATCGAACAGACGTTTTCTCGACTAAATCCTTGGAAACTCTTTCATACGATCTTTCTCTCTCTCTTTTATTTTTTTCTCTTTTATTTTCTCTTTACCTCAATGCCAGCATAGCCGTTCCATAATTCAGCCAAAATATTCGCCTACATTCCTTTGCACCGTCGTCGCTTTTAGAAGGCTAGCCTGTAGACGAGTATGTACGTGTGTTTGTGTTGGGTCAAACTTTATCACATAGGAGATTTTGCGTTCTCTAGCATACTGTCCTTCTCTCTCTTCCTCCACCCATCACGCTAACCAACACATGCCAGTTTACAGATGCGGGTTATAAGAACGTCGACGTACAATGCACGCGACTCCAAGGCTGACCCTGGAGAAGGAGAACGAAGAGAAGAAAGGTGGTGGTAGTAGTGGCGAAGAGGTAACGAGGGTTGGGTGTTGGTGTCCCTCTGGAAGAGGGTCGACTGGGAAGGCGGTCGGTGTAGTAGGGCCATGAATTATGCAGTTCGCCGCGGGCTAGGGCCTCGCACAAGTATAGACTGAGGGATGGGAGGAGGGCAGGTATGAGGCCTTGCTGTAGTGGTAGGGGTTGTTGGAAAGAGAGAAACGTTGAGAATGAGATAGAGCAGATAGAGGGAAAGCAAAAGGTTGCTATAAAGAGAGAGAAAGAGAGAGAAAGAGAGAGAGAGAGAGAGAAAGGGGAAGGGGGAGATAGAAAAGTGGAGGCTATACTTACTCGGTCCAGAGCCACTTTACCCTTGCCTCTCTCCCTACTACCTTTCGGCTCTTTCACCCGACAAACTCCACCTGCGCCTCCAGCTTCCAACGCTTTCGACCACGTCCAACCCTACTATTCCCCAACCTCTTCCTCATTCCTTTTTCTTCTTCTCCAACCCGACACTTTGACTCGGCCGATTGAAATTTTCATACCGATACGTCTGCCGTCCCAGTTTATGTTCCGAATAGGGCTGAAGTGCACGTCCGCAGACACTTATAGCAAGTTCACGTACTATTTCTTTATTTCATGCCTTCTTTCTTCATAAACGTCCTTATCTCTCCTTGCTTTGCACTTTTCTTGGATTGGTCTGTCTACTTTCCCTTTCTTTATTTCTTTCTTTCTTTTTTTCCTTCACTATTCTCTTGTCTGTATTTTCTGTCTTTTTTTTTCACCCCACCACGCTTTATTGTACGGAATAAAAGAGGTAAGGTTGAAGTTTGCATCCTAGAAGGTACACTTTCCTGCCCTTTTACATTCTACGCGAGAATCTTATACTTCTTTTGGAATACTCGAGAGATGTTCGTAGATGAAAAGAAGCAAACGTGAGGTGAAGTAAAAATATTGATTATTTTAACCATTCTTCAAGGAAATTGTAATCTTTTCTAATAGAAAAGGAAAAGTCTAACAAATGAAAAAAAGAAAGGAAAAAAGTATCCAATATTTGAATATCTCCTATTAATTTTTTTATAAATTGAACTTAACATTCAGTATCTTATCAAAGATATATATATATATATTAATAAAATAAAATAAAAATCAACTCTTATACACAGTTGAATAGTAATCGAAGTTGCGAATATCAACGTCGTAGATAAACGACATATAGGTCCGATGAATCGAATCCCCCTACCCCATTGGACTAAAATCAAACAATCCGTAGAAGCGAAACAGCCTAAGGGATTAATCCGTTATTCGGCGTACCAACGGAGGAACCAATCGATCGAAACGAACCAAATGGAACGAGTTGCTCATTCGCAACGCCGATCGTCGAAGAATTATTATCCAGTGCGATGACAAAGCTGAGATAGCAGGAAGAACTCGAAGAACTCGTTCGATTCTTGCTTCTTGCTCCTGGCCGATTAATTATTGGCGAGTAATGAGCAAGGTGAGTTGAAATCTTAAACAAAAAAAAAAAAAGAAATGAAAGATAAAGATGATAAAAGAGAGAGATAAAAATAGAAAGAGAGAGAGAGAGAGAGAGAAAAAAAGAGGGGGGTAAGAAGGTAGGAAAAATGAGAACCGGAGAAACCCGATATCTTTAGTGGGATTTTTTGTTGCTCTCTTCTTATTCTTTCTTTTCTTTAACAATCTCTCTCTTTCTCTCTCTCTCTCTCTCTCTCTCTCTCTCTCTCTCTTTCTTCTGTCCTTAGAAATCGTTTATTCGTGTTTAACGGAGTCCCCGACAGTTCGACGAAACTTTTCGAAGCTCTCAGACGAAAGGCGTTACCTTCGGAGAAAAACCGATGGGCGAAGCGTTGCAACTTCGTACAAGGGAATGCTTTTGCATTGCGACGCTTACAACGTCGTTGAAGAAAAAAAAATAAAGAAAAAAAGTAAATAAAAAGAATAGAAGAAAAATAGTATGAAAAAAAGAAACAGATTGAAGAGATACGGGAGAAATAAAAAGTAAAGAAATAAAAAAAAAAAAAAAATTGAGAGAGAAAGAGTCAGGTGTATTTACGTAAATTCTTTTTATCACTTTAGAGTCTTATTGATAAGTAAGGTGATTCTACTCGTATTTTATTCCACATAAATAATTTTTTTTTTTTTTTTTTTTACTTAAATATTGATACTACAAAAATTATCAATGACGGTTGTAGTTCTATTTTTTCTTTTCTTTTTAATTAAGTTAGAAATATTTTCGCAATACACCTACAACAAAATCGGATGGTTCAAAGATGATGGAAAAAAAAGAAACAAACCAAATACCGAGATATCAGAATAAAGGAAGAATAAAAGAATGAAGAAAAGAAATAAAGAAAAGTAGAAAAAGAGTTTTAGTTAGCCAGGATAAATTGGGTCGTAGTCTCACGGTCTCTTTAGCCTTGTGAATGGTAGGTAGAGCTGACTAAGCTGGTGGGAAAACTTTTGCCTTCTTTGAAAGATCGTGTCGACGACGTATTCCGATCAAGCTAGGCATCGGGCTTTGAATAAACGTGGAATAAATTACGATTTAGTATGGAGTAAAAAAAAAAAAAAAAAAGAAAAAAACCAAAGAAAAAATGAAACTAAGAAGAAAAGGATGGAAGAATAATTGGAACGAGTCGTAAGGATCATATATACGAAAAAGTTAGACTTATATCGATTCTTATCAGTATAGAATTCGAAATACTTACAGAAATTGAAAGAAACGACCGATCCTACCCTAGATGCAAATAGTCTGTATGTGTATGTGTATGTGTTTGTGTGTGCGCGAGACGACTCTTCAAGGTATGGAAATGGAAGTAAGATAAAAGGAAAAAGGATCGAAAAAGAATAAGAAGAAGATAGAAGAAAAAGAAGAAAAATAAAGGAAAAAAGAAAATGAGAGAGAGAGAGAGAGAGAGAGAGAGAAGGAAATGCGCACGAGTGGCTCTAATCCGTCCTTCAGGGAAGCTTAAGCCCGTCTCTTCGTGTACTATGCTGGAAGAATACCGTTTAAGTGTCGTCCGTCTGGGGGTCCTCCACTCGAGTAAATATTTAGGAATTTTTCAAGAGCCCCGGAGTGCCTAAGAAAACAGTTTATTTCGTAGGAAAGAGGGATCCTTTTCCCTCTTTCGTTGTTGAAAGAGTACGTACGTATACGCTTGGGAGCCTGACTGACTCTTCCAAAACTCTCGAATCCTTCCTCTCGTCATTGTTAAATGGCCACGATGTGTGCTACGCGTTGACTATGCCCCGCTGGCAGTATTCCTTTGCGTAAAAAAT